TCTCTAATTGTCAAAAATCTAATTTAGTGTCTGGAGCCCGGGCCGGCCTCGGGTTAAGTGGAGGGAGGCAGGCCTGGTCATAAATCTGCCCTCGCAGCCCCGGCCAGCGCTAATTCTGCGCTAAGTGAGGGGCGAGGAGGGCACCAGGCGGGCCAGGCCGGCCCGGAGAGGCATGTCCTCCGCGACCCTGTGGCCACCCGGGCTGGGGCGCAGCCAGGCCCCCTCTCTTGCAGGGGGAAGGGGGCTCGTGCGGGCGTCCGTGGACCACCGGGAAGCCTCAGCCACAGGCATGGGGACCGAGAAGTCTCGGGGGTGTGCCTGGCTGGGCTGGGGCCACCCCACCTCTGCCTGGCCCACCCGGGGTCCGCATCCATGCAGGCTCTGCCCGGCAGGGTGAGGCCAGCCTGACTGGCAGGACAAGCGGCCTCCTCCAAGAACTCCTGAGCCTCTGGCGAGGCAGTGGCGTGGGGACTCAGCGACTGGCCGTCTAGCAGCGGGCTGGTGACTGCTGGAGGTGGGGCGTGAAGAGCCACTCCCCAGTGGGGAGAGAGTACTGCCGGGCCCACCAAGCTGCTCCCTTCTGGCCCAGAGGGCCTGGGGACGGACCACCTGGGCTTGGAGAGGCCTCGCTGCCCTCAGAGCCACTGACCGAACGCCAGGCGTGTGGCAGGGCCCGGCCCTGCGGCTCTGCTTCCACGGGAGGAAACGCCTTCCCCAGGCGCCTCCCCAGGCCCGCCTCCCAGCACCAGGAAGGCCTCTCGTTAGGGGCTGGGCAGACGCACCTAACCGGCAAGAGCCCACCGAGCTGCGCGGTCTCCCACCTGGCAGGAAACAGTGACCCCCGACAAGTCTCCAGGCACCCTGAACCCCTCCCCGCAGGATCCGCTGGGCTTGCAGGTGGGGCCAAAAGCCAAGGCCCGCCCCTGCTGGCCAGGAGCTCTGGAGCCCAGCGCGTGAGGGACCTCCGAGCGGATGCCAGAGGCCCGGCGGCCCTGCTGACTCCTGACTCCCGGCCTCTCCGAGAGCCCTGGCCACCAGCTGCTGGGAAGGAGACCGCAGCGTGGACCTGCGCGGCGTGGGCGCGCGTCCGGCCGGGCCCTCCTCTGCAGAAGGCTGGGTGACGTGGCCCTCTGCCAGCCTCAGGCTCCGGCGGGAGTCCACGCCGGGGCCTGATGCCGGGTGGAGGCGGGAGGGGACCACGCGCCACCAGGGCCAGTCTGGGCAAGACGAGGCAGGCTGGTGGCAGCTGGGGTGCTTGGTCAGGCGGGGAGTGCAGTGCTCACGCCAGGAACCTTGTTTCGCTGGGCGGTTGAGGCAGGCTCGCCGGAGACGGGAGTTCAAGACCAACCTGGACAACAGAGTGTGACCCCCAACCTCTACAAGATGTTTTAAAAACTTTTTTTTTTGGAAGCAGGCTCTTGCTGTCACCCAGGCTGGAGTGCAGTGCCACAATTACAGCCCACCACCGCCTCAAACTCCTGGGCTCAAGGGATCCTGCTGCCTCAGCTTCCCCAGTAGCTGGGACTACAGATACCACACGCAGCTCATTTAAAAAAAAAAACTTTCTGTAGCGACAAGGTCTCGATATGTTGCCCACGCTGGTCCTGAACTCCTGGCCTCAAATGATCCTCCTGCCTTGGTCTCTCAAAGTGCTGGGATTATAGGCATGAGCCACTGTGCCCGATCTCCTCAAAAGAAACAAGACACTTAGAAAATTCACTTTAATCTTATATTTGGAATTTAAGTTACTTTTTTCTGAACAGCTAAAAAACCAAAGCACACTCTATTACCATGATCCTAAGTTGTGAACATATTGGTACACTGACTACACATCACCACAACATAATCACAGAAGCCAAAGCAGTCAGGACTTCCAAGTCCAGAGAACAAGAGCTCTCGGGAGAGCTGGAGTCCACCAACCGGCCCACAGATCGTCTGGGCTGGGCTCGAGTGGCCGCCGAGTTGGGAAGGCGCTAGTTTCCTTGGTACCCAGGCCTAAGCTCCTGGCTGGTCTTCTCCTCAGTGTCCCGGAAGGGAAGGGCCAGGAGGGCGGCGGCACATCAGAGTATGACTTCCTGAACCTTAACGCAACACACACACTGGACCGGGTCTGACAACCAGTGGGGATGGCGGGGAAGTATTCTGGATGCCACCAGCCTCCGGGGCTGAGATCACAGGGACTCACCTGCCCGGGAGGGGCTTCCTGGTCCCAACACAGCAAGCTCCGCCCGAAACCGGCAGCCAGACCTCACTCCTTCCGTCTCTCCTCAGCTCCCAGGACCTTGGCATCGCACATGAGCCACAGGCAGAGAGAATAAGCAGCATGACTCAGCTGCCCTAGGAGATGCCACCCTAGGAGATAGCTGTCTTTTGGCATCAGTGGCGTCGAGACTGGGGTCAGTGGCCGGTGGTGCGGTCAAGCCCAGGCAGAGGGGCTTGGCTGTGGTCACCGGGAGCACCTGCGAGTCGCTGAACTCACCCAGATGGGGAGAGATGTGCAGTGGACAGAGTGCTGCAGCTCTGATCGTCATGGACGTGGGGCCACGGGGTGGCCCCGTCTCCCACCGTGGGCACCTGGGCTCACCCAGACCCTGCAGCCTAGCCCTCAGGGCTTCCATGCTGGCCGGGCTGCTCCACTTCAGGCCGGAGGTCCTGCCATCCAGGACACAAGGCAGGTGCTAAGGAGGCCACCACCACGGGGTCCCACCCAGTGACTTCCAAACTCCCTACCCCACCTGCTTCCACAGCCACTCACCCAGGAGCTGACCAGCACAGCTATCAGACCCCCAGCACCGGCAGGGAGGGGCACATTTTTCTCTGCAGCTTTAGATTGCACAAAAGAAAAAGCACTGCTCTAACTCAAGCAAGACCCAGAATGGGCTAGGGGTTGCGGGGTCTCTTCCAGCTGGGAAGCGAGTGACAAGGGCCGGATATTATTACCTGTCAAGAAAGACCACGCTGGATGGAGAGGACACCAGAATCTTGCCAAGGGACGTGTGTAACAGGCCGCCCGCCATGGCACAGAGTCAAAGAATTCCTCAGCGGTGATGCACACACCAGGGCATGCTGGGCTCGTCTAAGCACCCATGGGGTCACCTGTGTTGGAAGCAGGCGTGCTCCTCCCCGCCGTTGAGGGGCTCCCGCAGGCCCCGCCAGTAGGTGCATCGCAGTGAGAAGAGACAATCTGCCTTCCGCTGCTTTTCTACCTTCTTTTAATGAGACTTTGTTTCTCTTTTCTTTTTAAAAAGGTCAGACTTTACATTTATTGGAGCCCAGTCGGGGATCAGTGATATCCAATTCCCACGGAAATCACGCAGAGATGGTAAGTGGGGTTCCCTTCTCTGGAAATGAACTTACCTGATTATTTCTTCTACAATGAACTGGCAAATGACCCCCGAGCTGAGAAATGTGAGCGATTCAAGTTTCTCAGACACTTAGCTTCATTCCCATTTCCCCAGCAGTAGAGGGGGCAACGTGGAGGCAGCCTCGGCTGAGCTAAGGGCTCCGCGCCTGCAGGGTCCACTGGGGCTCGCTGTGAAGGCCCAGACAGTTCCACAATGGCCTTCGAAACGGATTCCTTCAGCTGAGCCCTGGAGAGCAAAGCCCTGGCGAACACGCAGCAGCTCCCGCGTTAGAGCAGCAGCAGAGGACAGGGGACAGGGTGGTGGTTACGGCTTGCGGACAACATGGACATGGCGTGGAGCCCACGCCTCCCGATGTCTGACAACCCCTGTGCTTCCGGGGCTGACGGCCCCCACCTTCACCCGAGATGGCTGTGCAGGCCTGCCCGTGTCCGGGAGACACGCGGGGCGACAGCAATAGGACTCTCCGTGCCCCAGATCGGTGTGGCAGAGCTGCCCCTGCCCCCAAAGTGCACTGGCTTCCAAGCGGCCAGGGTAGCCTGGCCCTTCTGTTGTTCACAACGGTCAGGAGATCTGATGGGCTGGGTAGCATGAAGAGCAGAGTGAGTTGGGATGGGGATGAGAAGGGGAGAGAAGGCGGCCTCCACCCATGACTGAGCCCCGTGCCAGCGTCTCCCCGGCTTCTCCCCGGCAGCCTCCCCTCTGCAATTCTGGGTGTGGAAGCAGCAGAAGGAAGGTTCTGCAGTGCAAGGCTGACATGCTGAGACTGACTTTTGAGAGATGACGTTTACTGGCCTAAATGAAGAAGAAATCCGGTTTCACGCCCAGCCATTTCGTAGCTACTCCCATCATGGTCCCGGCAAGCACACTGGCTCCGTCCGAGTGCGCACGGCCTGCCGGGAAACGGGTCGTGGCGGGATGCACGGGGCATTGCTCTGGCTGCTTCAAAGCCTCTGCAGGCCGAGCTTTGCCAGCGACTTCAGATGAAGACGGTGCTCTTGTTACAGCTAAGCGCGAACGAGAGGAGTACAATCAGGCTCCTTCCCACACCCTTGAATGGCGGGGTCCAGGAAAGACAGCCACTGGCCGCCAGGATGGTCTGCCCCTCACCCTGCCAGGCATGGGGAAGGAGGAGGAGAGAGGAAGAGCTGCAGGGATGAGGAGTGGCGTGCCAGGAGAACCCGCTGTCGCCACGGAGGCACTTGCAGGGAGGGCCTGGCTGAAGCTGGGCAGCCCTGAGCTCTCCAGGGTGCATTTTCCAGCCACTCTGCCTCCCACACCTTCTTCCCGGGGAGCAGAGAATGGGGTGACGGGCGGGGGGAGGCACAGAGACACAGGGGGCACAGAGGCCAGACCTTCCAGGGTGTGCATCCTGGCTCCCTTTTTCTTGCCCTGGAGTCACACAGAGGGAGCCCAGTCTCCTCCTGAGGGGGCAGGTGGTTACAGTCAGGGAGACACGGGTGCTGTCTAGCTTGAAGCTGCCTCCCTGTCCCCTGCACGTGGGTCTCGCCCAGGAGGCCAGGCAGGGAAACTAGGTCTTATGCTTAATGGCAAAGCAAGAGAGTTTCTGGCAAAACACTACGTATATTTATAAGTCATCTTTGTCTGGAACCAAATGGGGGAGAAAAAAATATGCACGGGCGGAGTGGGGAGGAGGAGCGGAGG